TATGTGACTTTACTATACCAGCAACATAAAACAAGTAAAAGAGAGCTCCTTGTTCAAGCATAAGTACATATGTGGGTAGACAATGTGTACTTCCCAAGCAGAGAGACCAACATGAGTTAGGCACCTCCCAGCATATAAAATATTGAGAAAACTGTTCCAATGTTGTGAAACTGCCTTTACTTTCTGAAATAAAAAAATAAATCCCAATTTTACAAAACATTTTAGACCATAAAACATCATACAAAATAATAAGACTAGGGCTTGGAGAAATGACCCAATGGTTAAGGGCACTTACTACTCTTACAGAGGACCCAGGTTCAGTTCCCAATATCTACATGGTGGCTCACAGCCATCTATACCCCTGGCTACATGGGATTAAGTAGGTGCCCTCTTCTGGCACATACAGGGACCTGCATACATGTGCTGCTCATACACTCATGTAGGCACACACACATACACAGAAATAAAAAATAGATCTTCAAATGAACAAATTACTAATAATGACAAATTCCTAAATAGGCAAAGAAACTGAATTTAATGCACATAACTGTGGCTGGTAAAAACTAAAGGTGTATCAGATGAAGTAAATCTGTTACAAGAAGAAGGTGTTTTATTTTATGAATTCATACTTTCTAGGAACAAATAGCCACCACTACAAATGACATGGTGAGATGAGTACTGTTAGTTACTACTGAAGTAGAGTAAGAGACATTACAGTTTATTTTTTATTATTTTTAACAAGCTCATTATAATTATATATTTTATTATATTGAATATTTCAAAACAACTGGAAGGAATGAGTTTGCACAAAATGAAGCAAACATTCTAAAAACCAAGTCAATAACTATAAAAATGACAACAAAAAATGTTGTTTTACTATAATCATTCTACATTAGTGCTGGAATAACTGGCTATCAACATGTAGAAGAATGCAAATAGATTCATATCTATATCCATGCACAAAACTCAAGTCCAAATGGATCAAAGACCTCAACATAAATCCACACTGCACCTCATAGAAGAAAAATTGGGAAGTACCCTTGAACGCATGAACACAGGAGAACACTTATAAAATATAATGCCCATAGCACAGGCACTGAAAGCAATGATTTAAAATGGGACCTCCTGAAATTGAGAAGTTTCTATAAGACAAAGGACATGGTCAATAAGACAAATTGGCTCCCTACAGAATGGGAAAAGAGCTTCACCAACCCCACATCAGACAGAGGACTGATCTCAAAAATACATAAAGAACTCAAGAAACTAGACATCAAAATACCAAATAATCCAATTTAAAAATGGGGCACACTCCTCCCCAAAACGTGGGTGTTAGGAGCCTAGGCAGTCTATGGGGCCTCTGGTAGTGGAACAGTATTTATCCCTACTGTACAAATGGACATTGGGAGCCTATTCCCCATAGAGGGATATTCTCCCAGCCTAGACACAAGGTGGAGGGCCTAGGCCCTGCCCCAAATGATATGACAGACTTTTATGATCCACCATGGAAGGCCTCACCCTTTATATGGAGCAGAAGAGGGATGGGATGGGGGTTGGTGGGGAGCATGAGAGGATGGGAGGGAGAGGGAACTGGGATTGATATATAAAATATGATTGTTTCTAATTTAAATTTTAAAAATGAAAAAATGGTGTACAGAACTAAACAGAGAATTCTCAACATAAAAATCTCAAATGGCTGACACTTAAGGACACTTAAGGAAGGAATTGCTCAGCATCCTTAGTCAACAGAGAAATGCAAACGAAAATGACTCCGAGATACCATCTTACACTAGTCAGAATGGCCAAGATCAAAAACACAGATGATAGCTTACGCTGGTGGAAGTGTAAACTTGTACAGCCACTTTGGAAATCAGTATGGTAGTTTCTCAGAAAATTGGGAATCAATCTACCTCAAGACCCAACAATACCACTCTTGGGCATATACCCAAAGGATGCATTCTCATACCACAAGGACATTAGCTCAACTGTGTTCTTAGCAGCATTAATCATAATAGCCAGAACCTGGAAACAACCTAGATGCCCCTCAACCAAAGGAAAAAAATGACATCATGAAATTTGTAAACAAATGGATGGAACTAGAAAAAAACATCCTGGGTGAGGTAATCCAGACACAGAAAGACAAACACAGTATGTACTTACTCATAAGTGGATATTAGACAAAAAGCAAAGGATAACCATGACCCCAAGGAAGCTAGGTAATAAGGAGAACCCTAAGGGAGACATACATGGATCCCCCTGGGAAGGGGAAAAAGACAAGATCTCCTAAGAAAAATTGGGAACATGGTGGGAAGGGAGGGAGAGGGGGAAATGGAAGAGAAGATGGAAGGGGAGGGGAGAAAGGAAGAGAAGAAGAGAACATTAGGAAAAAGGATGGTCAAGATAGGGAAGGACAGAGAGTGAGAGCAGTGAAAGAGGTATCTTGATTGAGGGAGTCATTATGGGCTAGTGAGAAACCTGGCACTAAGGAAATTCCCAGGAATCCACAAGGATGACCTCAGCTAAGACCCTAAGAATTAGTGGAGAGGGTGCCTGAAATGGCCTTCCCTTGTGTAATTAGATTTCTAACTACTTGAATTATCACCATAGGAAGCAGATGCAAAGATTCACAGCTAAGCACTGGGCTGAGCACTGAGAGTCCAGGTGAACAGAGAGAGGAGCAAAAATATGAACAAAGGGGTCAAGACCATTTTGGGGATATGCACAGAATCAGCTAACCTGAGCTAGTGGGAACTAACTGATCTGGACTGACAGCCAGCCCAGGAACCTGCATAGGACCAAACTAGGTCCTCTGAACGTGGGTGACAGTAGTATGGCTTGGGCAGTCTGTTGGGCCACTGGCAGTGGAACCAGGATTTATTCCTAGTGCTTGAACTGGCCTTTTGAAGCCCATTCTCTCTGGAGAGATACCTTGCTCAGCCTAGGTATAGGGAGGGGGAACATTGGTCCTGTCTCAAAGTGATGTGGCAGACTTTGTTGACTCCCCATGTGTATAGGGTGGGGGGGAGAGTAGGAGGAGAGGAGGGAGTGGGAACTAGGATTGGTATGTAAAATGAAAAAAGATTGTAAAATTTAAAAAGAGAAAAGAGAAAAAATAAAATGTTATCTTTAAGAACAAAAAAATTCTATCTTAGGAACCAAGATGTAGAAATAGGGATAAACACACAGGAGAAAGACATTAATATTCCTATATGAATTATAATAAAATGACTTGGTGGAATACTGTACATTATAATACATTCAAATGGTGCATTTTTATGTAGGCATGAGTGACTTAGTCTTGCTTGGGTCATGGGAATGTCACTATGACTTGGAAACTGTGTGGAAGAGCATGATTGGAATTCCCAACACTGTTGTGGTGGTCATAGGTCACTTTGCTTTTCTGTTTGTAGCTGATTTCCTGTACAAGCTGGATTTTGTAGAAGCCAATTAAAAAACAGTTCTGTTCACTTTTCAAGCACATTTACTGACCAAATTTTATCTCACCTTTGGAATCATATTTCAAGCTGAATTTACAGCTTCTTTGGGTTCCCTTGTAGAAAGTAAATTATCTCAACTAGGTTCATGTGAACCCTCAGCTCTTCACTTGCACCCCATCTCAGTACCCAGATCTTCAGTAAGAAGGGGCCATACAGTTAGCTGCTTTAGTCTCAACTCTTGTTTTCTTGGTTATTCAAGCTGAAATAGTGATAGATACAGGGAGTGAGGGTTGAACACAACTGCCTCACGTGCAAGCTGGAAGAGGATACTCCCAGGATTTGACAGTTTCCACTGGCTGCTCTTTTCCTAGAGTGATTTTGTGGGTGACTGGGAACCTCACTCCACGACCCCTTCATCATCCACGTGTCTCTCATTACCATTTGTGGGTTGACCACTTAACAGGATACTCACATTTGGGTACCCAGTGTTCAAGCATCCTTCTCCTGAGCATCTTCTGTGGTAGGAAGCCTCCCTGTAAGGCACTCGAAGGCCTTGCTCCCTACCTTCTCACTCAGCCTCTCGGGACTTCTTGACCCTTATCTCCATTGTCTGGGGTAGGGTTAGAAACCTCCTTAGGAATTGCCACGGACAGCTGCATAGCATATCCCACAGGTATTCCTTGCAGTAGGCAGCCTTTGACACTGGGGCCGCCAGAATGTTTCTAATGCGGTATGAGAATGCTAAGCACTGGGCTGAGCTCCAAGAGTCCAGTTGAACAGAGAGAGGAGCAAAAATATGAACAAAGGGGTCATCATTTTATAATGAGGATAGGAGAAGGAAACAAGCTTTGACCACACAGAAAAGGGCAAAATGACCAACTATCAGAGCCAGTGAGGCAGCTGTTTTTAACCCTATTGAAGAACCCGAGATTAGCTGAGATTAATTGACAGTTTTGACTGTTGTGTCCCTGACTGTGTAGAACAGAAATTATCATTCAGAGAAGTGCAGGGAAAAAAACAGGACAAGTGGCAAGGCTGCTCTGTGGTATGGCTGTTCCTTAAGACACTTATCAAGGAGTACATTGTTCTTTCCTACTATTACATTTCATCACTAACTAATCACCAGCAAGTTAATGTATTTTCTTATGATGTAATTAACGAACAATTTACTACTCAACAGAATTTACATTCTCACGGCATTTTAAATTATTAAGTAGATGATTGCTGTTTAATTTATGTGCAACATGTTTTTAGTCCTTTTCTGCCTGTTAAGCATTAAAACGGTTATAAAAATAATGAATATAGTACAAATTGTTCTATAAATACAGAAAAGTAAAGTATATATTAGAAATAATTTGTAATCATGTTTATATCCTAAATCAAAGTCCAAGTATCCAGAATTGTTTATATTTCTCATTTATCTCTATTTTTTAGAAACCTATTTAGGTGATTGAAAAATGAAAAGGTTTTAAATAGCAGTTATTGTTTAGACGTAAAATTTTATCCTGTTACAAAAGTTATTTGATATATAGGTACAAACTCTAAAAACATATGCTTTTTTTCCAGCTGGTTGGCTTTGTGTATGCCTGTTATGTGATCAACATATCCATGGAAGAAGAAGACACCTGTAAGTACTGTAATCCTCTCTGGGGTTCCCTCTGGATAAGACACTGATTTCCTAAAAGCCATCACAAGGCTAGGAAATCTTCCATATTTCAAACTCTGCATAGTAAGGTTATAAGAGAAGCAACAGAGTCAACTTCACACAAGCCAGGAATATTAAACAGCAACCCTCACTCCTCACTGTGAGCTGCTCATGAGTATGAGGGAGCCTCAGAAGCCTGGAGAGCACAGTTAGCCATGTCAGAGTGAGGTCCCCCACAGAGCTAAGCATGGCTATCTAGTTAAAGGTACTCTAGTCATCACAAATTGGGAGTGTGCTGCTGTTAAAATTTTGAAATTTAACTAACAGCAATGATAGTAATACAACGCATTGTGAGAATCAAATGAACTACATAAATTTATGAAACAACAAAATTAAAGACTTTCATGTGAAATTTTTAAAAAATGAAGATCTACTAAAAGTGACTGGTGGTATGCTCAGCAACTAAGCCGTGGTTTAACATCAAATAAACGGTGTGTGGTGACTTGACTCTCTGTTTCAGAGGTATACGAGCACAGGACAATAATGCTGTTTATCAAACAGCTGCCAATGTATAAGGCACTTTCCACTCAACTCGCTGGTGTGCTCACGTAAGACAACAGCAAATATTAACCAGTTTTCACAGTTGGGTTACTTTGGAAAATCACATCTACCCATTTCCACTGTCATCCAAATTGCTTGAAATAGAGCATTTAACAAAATGGGGGTGTTTGGCTAACCTTTATAATGGCCTTTCTAGAATCAGTTCCAAAATGATCTCTACCAAACAGATGCAGGAGTAATGCCAGAACCAAAATTCATGACAATGTGATCTTATCTCCGTTACTCCAACAAATGAAAGAAAATACTAGACTTTGAGGCTAAAAGTAGACATCAGTCTTTTGTCTAACACGATGAATATAGAAAATCATCTCCTCCAGGCTTGTGAGTTTTAAGTGAAAGTACAAAATACACAATGGCATGTAAAATAAGAGTCTCACCTACATTGGGTAGAGATTTTTTTTAACCTCTCCCAGTCTTTCTTTAGAGCAATGGTTCTTAACCTGTGGGTCATGATCCCTTTGGAGGTGAAAGACATTTTCACAGGGGTTGGATATCAGATTTTTACATCACAATTTATAAAATTAGCAAAATTACAGGTATGAAGTTGCAACAAAAAATAATTTTGTGGTTGGGGTCACCATAACATGAGTAGCTGTATTAAGGGGTTGCAGCATTAAAAAAAATTGAGAACTACTGCTTTAAAGCCATACTATCAGAGGACAGGGAATATGTTGCTACTGGCAGATACTGTATTCCTATTGACTTTGGTATCTTTAATTAAGTGAAGCTTCTCTATAGAAATCTCTGAATCAGCTAATATAATGACATCACACTCACATTGAAGTGGCTGTTCACAGCCTAGTCTATTAATAGTTTAATTTTAGTGCTTGTTATAAGGGCCATACATAAAGTTACTCAGTGGCATCTGGATGTTGTTGTTGTGCTGCCATCAATTCCAATAATACTTAGAGTCAAGAAGATCCTGGAGTACTCAAAACAAAGTCTTTATAACCAATGTAACATGATAATCTGATGGAAGAAGGATGACAGTGAAAAGGAAATTACAAACCTTTCAGTCTGGAGATTTGCACAACAGAGATTTTACATTTTTACTGAAAGAAGAATCCGAGGAAGAGGTGCCATTAAATCATCCCAGAGTCTCCAGAAGCAGATGTGAGTAAAAATCAATGTCTACTGCCAATTTCCATCATCTCTTGGACTAGCACAACCACTGCCTACACTTTGTAGAATTCTAGGCACAATAGCGTAATATGTAATGCTCTTTGATATGACATTACCAACCCACAACCAAAGAGAAAGAGAAGCACGCGTTCTTTGAATTGTTTTTCAAAAATGTAAACACTAAGGAAGCAACATTAGTAACTTTACAGTGTACCTAAGTATACCTCTGGAAAGTTCATTCTGAAAGGCAACTTCAAAACTACCCTAATGCAACAGTATGTTGGCCAATACGCCATCATTCCTCTTGAAATCTCCGAGGTATTCAAAGTATAGAGTTAAGCCTTGTTCTCGGACTGAAAGCTGCCAACACCTTAAGGTTTAATAGCAGCCTCACTGTTCTCTTCTGCATGGCTTCCAGCTACCATTTCATATGGACGTTTCTAAAGGGTAGTAAACGTTTAGGGAAACATTCATTTCCAGCCACTTACCTTCCCTGTTATCTCTCAGCCTCTTTACTTACTGTTTCTTATAAAGATTATGATCTCAGGTCAAAGATGAAGATATAAAAGCTGACAGAGCACGCATGGGGTCTGTGACTTCAATGCTTATCCTAATGAAAAAGCCAACGTGTGTTATTCACTCCTTCTTTTTTATTCCCCTATCAATCTTAATAAATACTCCAGTGAAACTGGAATGTTTGGGATCTCTAGTCATAAAACCCTACTGAAGTCTCCGCTGTGAGTCCTTGACCAAAGTGAACTGCCAGCTGTTATTATCTTGTCAGACAGACCAACAGGGAAGGTTTTGTTTCAAACAAGTGTAGTGATGAGGCAAACTATGCTGAAAAGCAACCACCACTGTATATAAGTACTAAGGCTTTTCTGAGGAATCTATTCTAGCCTAACTTCCAAATTTCACTTGGTACATTGACTTCAGCAATCACCAAACATCAGGGATCTGCAGGTGGTGACTTCTGGGAAGGTCAGGCAGTGTAAGAAGGGTCTGATTACAGTGCAAAGGCAGAAAGAGGACACCAACTCCTGGATATATCATGAGACATTATTATTTTCCCTATAATACTTTCAGAGGCACTCAAGCACTAAAACCCACAGACCAAGAAAGGCCCTGCATGGGGCAAGATAGAGAAACTTTTCATTCAAATTATTTCCAAAGCAAAGGCTAAGCTCACAGTGAAGCCAAGCCCCAGCTGCTGTCCAATTCAGTGCAGACTTAACTCAGCCTGAGCAGGAAGTGTATCCAGTTCACATTCTGCTCCCTTCACTTTTTCCCACGTGCCTGTTTGAACGTTGAAGGAGCGTTCCTCCTTCTGTCTATCCACTGACATTTTTTTCCCCATCCATCCACACTGAATTGCCTCTTCCCAAGATGTCCACTGTCTTCTCCTCTTCCTGGCTATCTGGAGGGATCTGTGATACATCGCCCAATGCTTTCTTGGCACATTATGTATTTTCTTTGGAAACATTTAACACAATTGTAACTTTTTAAGGTCACAGCATTTACCACAGCAACCTCATTTCCCAACACAGTGGACATTCTATAGAATACACAGGTGTGTGACTTTTTCTGGTTAAATGGAAGCAAATGTCTATTCGCTACACATAAAGATGTGACGGCAGAGTAAGGGTGTGATTCCCATTCGTAGTTTGATGAAACAGTGAGTCTTTTGGATACTGGAGCTCCTTATAGGGGAATGGGTGAAGACTTACCTGCAGGAGCATGGGCGACTCAAAGACAGCTACAGCACTGAAAAGCTCACCACAGCATGAGTGACAGTTCCTAAAAGCTGCATCCTTGGAGTTTCTACTCAGCAGCAGTGTCAAGCTACACAGAGCATTCTCAAGTTAATGGGGAAGATAGAGGACTCTGTTGTCCAGATGATATAGAAAAGAAGACAGGAGATTTTGCAGCCCAGATGTGATCACATGAGAATGGGGTAACAAATGATAAATTTTCCACCCCCTGTGGCATCTGGAATTCATGACAAGAAGAAATTCCCTGAAAGGTTACTATTGGTAAAATTTAGCAAGAGCAAGTGACACATTCTGCCAGTATTTCTCTATTTCTACTTTAAATCTGAATATTAAAAAAAAACTTAATCCTGACCCCATCTCAACTTTGATGAATAACCCACTCGTCCAGCTTTGTCAGCCATGTTCTTGGTATACTGAACCCTCCTTTCTCTGTCTGTGTTGGTCCTTGGTGATGCTGACAGCAATAACTGACTCAATGAAGATTCACAGTGTGCCATGAGAGCCAGCCACCTGCCACACCATCCTTTCCCCTGTTTCTAGTGAGCATCTTCTCAGGATCTCACATAAATTAACATTTAGAGTTATTGGTACCTTAGAGAACCCCACATTTCAGAGATATCAGAATCCCCAACCCCTGCTTAGGGATGATTGATGGGAACTTGAAGTGGTGATGTGATTCATGGCCCCTTCTTTTCTTTCAAGTACCTTTATCATCACAACTCTCACAGAGGGCTAGAGAGATGGCTCCTGGGGCAAAATTGATTTCTCAGAATGCACACAGATCCATGTTCAGATCCTACTACCCATGTAAAAATCCAGGTTAAGTCAGGAGTGGTTACCATGTACTTGGAAATCCACCACTGAGTGGTGGCGGCAGCAGGAAGGGGTAGTGCATGCAAACAGTGAGATCGCTGAACCTTGCTGGCTCCAGTCTAGTTCCACATTCACTGAGAATCCCTGTGCCAAGGGAATAAGACAGAGAGTGATGGGGCAGGATACACAGCATCCCTCTCTGGCCTCTGCACATGTGTGCACAGGTGTACACACCTACCTTACACACATGTGCATCTATAATACATACACAAATACTATCATGAAAATATTGTCACAAAGAGAATTGAAACCCATGGACCCCCAGCCTCAAATGTCTGAGCTCTCTCTACATTCAGAGCCATCTGTCTATCTATAACTATTACCTCCCTGACATAGAAAAGGAAGGGTCACTCCATCAACACATAAAGGCCTGATGCTTCTTTAACTATTCTTTCCTTTCTCCCCTCTCCTAGCCATGAAGTTTCTTCATTTAGTCTTTCCTCAGTTAAAAAGTCACTCAATTAAAAAAAAAAAAGAATAAAGGAGTTCCTGCTGCCTGTCCACCTGTTACATATTCATCCTTCCTGTCCTTCACACCTCCCCCTTGTGTCTCCAGACTAACAGAGCCCATTTTTCCACCTCATTCACAACCAG